GCGGCCCATTTGGGCGGGCGGGTGGCGGCCGGCTAGCTAGGTCGTCATGGGGGGTGGATCTGGGACGGAGATCCGGCGAGCGGCTGCTCGGGGGGAGACGGCGGGGAGCGGAGGGGAGTGGGAGTTCGTGCGTGCGTGCGTGCAAGACTGCTTTTTTCCCCCTCCGCGTGCCCGCTTTAATTTTTCCGCCGCGCCGCGCCGTGCGTCGGGGAAGAGAAGCGGAGCTCGCCGTGGACTGGGGACGGACTCCGGGTGGGTGACTCGTTGCGCGTCGGAGAGAACCAAGGAGCGAAATGCGGCAACGAGGTGAAAAGTGAAAACTGCTTTCTTTTTCTTTTTTCTTTCTTATTACTGTGTGTTCTTATTTTCCATGGGTTTTGGTTTTTTTGGTACTTCCTCCGTTCCAAAATAGATGACTCAAGTTAGTACAAAGTTGAGTCATCTATTTTGAAACGGAGGGAGTACCATCGAAGGCACAAACGTCGCCGGGTGAATCATGATGAGCATGGCGGCGGTAGCCCCAAAGTGATACAAAGATGAGTCCGCTCCGGCTAACGTGTCGCAAGGAGATGGAGATGGGGTTTGCGGTGATGGCGGCGGATGGACGGTGATGATGCCCTCTCAATGCGGTGATGCGCCGGCGGAGCCGCTTGATCAGTTCCTCTTGATACGGTGATGGGGACGGGATCGGACGTGGTCGGGGAAGAACGAAAGTAGAGAACCCTAGCTAGAGTGACTAGATAAAGTTAGGATCGCTTTCTTCTTACTCTTTTATTTCTTGTGTTTGGCTTGTAACATGCCCCGTTCGAGCCAGAGTAGTGGAAAAGGTAGAACATAAACGGTGATGAGTACATTTGAATTACGACAGTTAACCCTGTTGGAAATATGCCATAGAGGCAATAATAAATTAGTTATTATTATTATATTTACTTGTTCATGATAATCGTTTATTATCCATGCTATAATTGTATTGATAGGAAACTCAGATACATGTGTGGGTACATAGACAACACCATGTCCCTAGTAAGCCTCTAATTGACTAGCTCGTTGATCAATAGATGGCTACGGTTTCCTGACCATGGACATTGGATGTCGTTCATAACGGGATCACATCATTAGGAGAATGATGTGATGGACAAGACCCAATCCTAAGCCTAGCACAAAGATCGTGTAGTTCGTATGCTAAAGCTTTTCTAATGTCAAGTATCATTTCCTTAGACCATGAGATTGTGCAACTCCTGGATACCGTAGGAATGCTTTGGGTGTACCAAACGTCACAACGTAACTGGGTGGCTATAAAGGTGCACTACGGGTATCTCCGAAAGTGTCTGTTGGGTTGGCACGAATCGAGACTAGGATTTGTCACTCCGGTTGACGGAGAGGTATCTCTGGGCCCACTCGGTAGGACATCATCATAATGTGCACAATGTGACCAAGGGGTTGATCACGGGATGATGTTTTACGGAACGAGTAAAGAGACTTGCCAGTAACGAGATTGAACAAGGTATCGGCATACCGACGATCAAATCTCGGGCAAGTACAATACCGCTAGACAAAGGGAATTGTATACGGGATTGATCGAATCCTCGACATCGTGGTTCATCCGATGAGATCATCGTGGAACATGTGGGAGCCAACATGGGTATCCAGATCCCGCTGTTGGTTATTGTCCGGAGAACGTCTCGATCATGTCTGCATAGTTCCCGAACCCGTAGGGTCTACACACTTAAGGTTCGATGATGCTAGGGTTATAAAGGAAGTTTGTATGTGGTTACTGGATGTTGTTCGGAGTCCCGGATGAGATCCCTGATGTCACGAGGAGTTCTGGAATGGTCCGGAGGTAAAGATTTATATATGGAAAGTCTTGTTTTGGTCACCGGAAAAGTTTCAGGTTTTATCGGTAACATACCGGTACCACCGGGAGGGTCCCGGGGGTCCATCAAGTGGGGCCACCATCCCCGGAGGGCTGCATGGGCCAAGTGTGGGAGGGGACCAGCCCCAGGTGGGCTGGTGCGCCCCTCCCCCCCCCCCCACAAGGGCCCAAGGCGCCTAGGGTTTGGGGAGGGGGCGCCTCCACCTGACTTGGGGGACAAGTTTCCCCTCTCCCCCCCTTGGCCGCCCCCCTAGATGGGATCTAGGGCTGGCCGCCGCCCCTAGGGTGGAACCTTAGGTGGGGGCGCAGCCCCCCCCCTCTCCCCTATATATAGTGGAGGCAAAGGGGCAGCCCAACACACGAAGTTCTTCTCCTGTTGGCGCAACCCTACCTCTCTTTCTCCTCCTCTCCCGCGGTGCTTGGCGAAGCCCTGCAGGATTGCCACGCTCCTCCATCACCACCACGCTGTTGTGCTGCTGCTGGACGGAGTCTTCCCCAACCTCTCCCTCTCTCCTTGCTGGATCAAGGCATGGGAGACGTCACCGAGCTGTACGTGTGTTGAACGCGGAGGTGCCGTCCGTTCGGCACTAGGATATCCGGTGATTTGGATCACGACGAGTACGACTCCTTCAACCCCGTTCTCTTGAACGCTTCCGCTTAGCGATCTACAAGGGTATGTAGATGCACTCTCCTTCTCTCTCGTTGCTAGTCTCTCCATAGATAGATCTTGGTGACTCGTAGGAATTTTTTTGAATTTCTGCTACGTTCCCCAACAAACCCCACACGCCGTTTAATCTCTCATCATGGCCGTCTATGTTCATTTACCCACTCCCATCCCCACCGTTGGATAACCGGGGAAGTGTTACTGCGGGTATTCGCCAGTTATCAATCGCTGCGCATTTCTTCAGTGTTCGTCTAGATCTTGACATTAACTGCAAATGACATTGACTACGGTTACGGTTAGGGGATGGTTTGATAGTTTAATACTACATACCCTTTTCTTGAAAATGTTATTTACCTATGCATGAAAGCGTGATGTCAGTCGCAACATTTTCTCTTCGGCTCCCCAGATAATTTAACATGAACATTCCTGACCGGATCAGTGTGGTCTTCTTTCTTTTGGCTCAAACTTATGTCGGCGACTTTCACACATAATTTTTTGGAATAAATGTCGTTGCAAAACAACTAAAATGTCACAAGGAGAACATGCATTCAAAGGGTGTGGAATTGATGTAACAAATGAAAATTACCTCTCCAGGCTTAACTATAAGATGGTCACCCTCAAAGATAGTCTAACTCTAGATTCTCTTTTACGACTGTGCATGCATCTTCATGTTTATCAATCATCGGCATTCTACATGTTCATAAAGAAAAGTGTAAATTTTACATCCGGCTGGCATCTATCGACATAACAAATTAGACAACCTTCTATACAAGTGCCCAAAAACAAATTAAAAAATTAAAAAAATATTACTCCCTCCAATTTGTCATGTCTCTTACCAATTACAGATCCAACAACAGATTTTATTAAAGAGGAAACGTATTTACAAGAGGCAGATGTGATAATGTACCTTACTGCATCACCGGGCCCACACAAAGGTGGACCATGGTGGTCTATGGATTTATGCGGCACAACTGGCCTGGGGCGAAGTTCTTCATAGAGCAGTAGCTGAGGCCAAGGTAAACGAACCTCTGAAAAGTGAGAACAACTTTTGCAAATAAAGGAAAACTCGAGAATCCAAACGAAAACAGTGTGCATCTGTCAATAATCCAAATGAAACAATGTGTTAAGCAACAAAACTCTCCAAATCCTAATGGTGAGTACCTCTTAATTCTTATACGCACAAAAATAGTCGCTGAGCTTATCTTGGTGAGGCAACTTTGGCATCTTCTTTCAATTTGTTCGCGACATGGTCCGGCTTCTCCAACTATATGGACTCGTGGTGAAGAACGGTAAGCTTGTGTTGCATGGAGTGATGCCCCAACCAATGTTCCTTCAACAATTTGTTGATCTTGTTTCAAGCGGTGAGTGGCTATTGCAGTCTGCAAAGCATGGTACCACTATGGCGTTTGCGGATTGGGCTTTCCTTTTATGTCGATTCAATGGGATTTTCAATCTCCAACGAATGGCATGCTATCAAAGATATAAGATGTTATGGTTTTTAATATAATTTTAATTTTTTTACTAGTCATTTCGTGTCTAGTTGTCTTTCAGTTGTGCTAGATTTATTTATGTGAAACAAACAATCGTTTCTGGATTAGCAAAGGCCAGTGCTAAGCATGCAATTAGTATGGTGATGTGCGAATACTGAGTATTTTTAGAAAATACAGTGTACATTCAGAATAACTAGCATGCGATTAGCGGCTATTAAGGTGAAATATTATGTTATACATAATAGTTTTAATATATCTTACCACAATTTAGTTCCAGATCATGCAGGTAACACAAAAAACAACAACACATACCCGCATTATTCGCCCTGAACTAGTTGCTTTCCAGATTTGCGAGATCAAGACATGTATCATGCTCATCTCCTTTTGCGCTCAAATCAAACAGCACCGCACGGTAATCATCATCCATCATTACAGAGAAAGGGACATACCCATGTGGGAAGAAAAAGAAAAAGTATCATCCCGTAGTTCCGGCTAGCTGCCTACTTATCCCTTTCGGACCCCACGACAGCGGAGGTCTTCCATGAACTGGCTATGTTATTATTCAGATACAAAGGTTTATAAGTTACTAGAATAAAAGCCAAATAAGTCCAGTTTAAGATCGTATATTTTTATTTAAGACGTTTGAAACAACGAAAAGGTTCATGCCCAGCATATAGTATATTCTTATTAAAGACGTTTGATGAGAACATTGTAGTAGTGATTTCAATCCCATCACCAAAAAGAACTGCATAGACCAATTGCCAGTATCATAGTACAAAGAAGGTACCCCAAAGTTGAGTGCTTGGAACAAAATGTCTCGCGCCAGCAACAAGCCCGGGGTGTCACAAATCGGAGCCCCCAGGAAGAGAAAATGGTGCACCGAGCTTGTTTTCTTGTTTCAATCAAAATAATGGCCCAGTCACGACTTCAGTTTGGAGAAAACATGCAGATAAACCCACCCGGGCATTTACCATCACGACTTCAGTTGATCAAACGTCTTGAGAAGGCTAGCCTTGCAGGCCTCGATCTCGGCATATTCGGGGGAATTTGGAGTGGAGGCGACGATGGCGTAGGCACCTGCCTTGTCCAAAAACCCCGCAGCTTTATCTGCACATACAGCACAAGCATGAAATTCAAATGGACCACTTCGGATACCAGAACGATACAAGGAGCTAGAACCAAGTAGGATGCATCAATAGGAATGGCTAGTGTTTTTTCCTCACCCGACTTTGCAAGTGCCACGAGAGCTTTCAGAGCTTCTTTGCGTGTTTTATCATCTTTAGCACCTTCTAACACATTCAGAATTTCTTGAGCTCCACCCATCTCTACCACCTTCATTCTCCTTTCATCTGTACCCGTAGGAGATTAGTAACAACATTCAATAGTAAAATGGGAATATATCTCATTGACAAAATATGTTAAGTACAGATAAGCTGGAGTTAATTGTTGTTACAGGAGTGGGAACGGAACCACAGAAAATTTAGCTACTGCAAGACTTCATATGGATACATCCTTTTCACTGATAAACTCTAGTGAATTCTGCCGCAGAAATGGACCAGATGATACAAATGACCAACATCCCATGTGATAGACTAGTAGCAATCTAACACGCATAATTGTTAGTAAAGAAGCCCATAATCTCATGAGTCTGACATTGCTCAAGTCCAAATAACTGCTAAGGTGAAATGCTGGATCATTCTCATGCAGGGGTATGCAAAATGGCAGGACCAAGCAATGAGTTGGATATTATTATTTCTGAGAAAAGGGGGAACAGGTTGGATATATTGCTCATACTCTCCACAACAGATGTAACATTCTAACTTTATGATTTCATTTTTTTACAAAGCTAAGAGATATTACACAAAGCAGGAATTTTCCTAAATAAATCAATCAGTGGTGATTATTTGCCATGAACAATGTGTGGTAGAAATAAGTTTGTGTGATTCAGGGAGCCATCTAACAGTTCAGGCTTTGTGCACATGAAAGACGAAAAGTTTGAGGTACGGGAGATAGATCATAGATACAAATAGAGTGACAGAATATAAGTTGTCATGCCATGGAGTCCTGCACCCAGCAGATAGGTCTTTCTTGGTTTCCAAGTCTAGTTCTGCTAATTCATAATGATAGGTTTACGTATTTCTTTGTTAGTTTGAGACAGTTGGTTCAAGTTTTTCCTAAACTACCACCGAACTGTGCTAACATTGAAGAAAATCAAGAAATACTATCACTAGTCTAGATCTAGCTCTCTAAGCAAGTAAACCTCCGCCCGGAATTAACTGTCACTGAAATGAGTGTATCTACTGTCGCTGAAATGAGTGTATCTAGATATGTTTCAGTGTGTAGATACACTTATTTCAGCGACAGTTAATTCTGGACAAAGGGAGTAATTCATAATATGTTTTAAAGCGCAGCACGCAGAAATAAATTGCAACAGAACTCTAAAAATGCTTGGATAAAATTGGTTACCATCAACGGCAAAACGAGCTAATCTGGAAGCCCCCATCCGCTTGAACAAGGGATCTTTGACATGTAAAAGCGTAATGGATTGCTGTAGTAGGTTATCCCCTGAAAACTTGTCAGACAGAAGCAATTTCAAGTTCACCAGCATAATGTTCTAAGCTGGTAACTATAAGGAGAGTATCCAGAAGTGGCACATTTGTTAGCACATTATATGAAATCGCTATCATACCCATGTAGGGAAAGAATTGCCAACCAACAAGGCCAGCAGTCCCTATGAAGAATATCTTTAATATCCATCCAAATTTCTTCTCAACTTCCTCCTCAAGTGCCCTGTCATCTGTGCACCATTTTAGTTTAAGTTAGACAATTCTATATATGGATTTCACTTGGACGGAAGTATTCATACAGTAAAAAAAGAATAGCAAAAACCGCAAAATAAAGGAACACCTGAATTTCTTTTTCACAAATTACTTTCAACACAAGTTACCACAGCATAGCCCCATACTTGTATAGTGACATAAGAGTATGTGGATGTGGATACAGAACATAAACACTGAAACATAACTTACTAAGTCATACTCCCTCCGTCCAAAAATACTTGTCATCAAAATCGATAAAAAGAGATGTATCTAGAACTAAAATACGTCTAGATACATCCCCTTTTATCCATTTTGATGACAATTATTTCCGGACGGAGGGAGTAGTGATTAGTGATCCTGCTGTAAGGCAATTAATTCTACAGGCACCACCACCAGTCTGACAAGGTGAGTTTGGGACCAGGGTATTCTCGAAGAAAAACACTAGAATTACAGGACGGACGCAGGAACCACCGGATAAAACTGATAACACCATTATCCAGCGAAAGCGATTACCGGCGAGACGGTGAAACAATTAAACATGCCTCTTGGTCCCCTATACACCAATCTCACATTCACTGATCCAGGCACATGTACATCGTACACCAATCAAACAATCACCATCCACAGCCAAAAAACACACGGTAACTCATGGCCATTTTGACCCCAATTTTCATCAGTGTGTCCCATGAACAGCGAAACATCATAGATTTGAGGAAGTGAAATGAAGCCACTGGGCACTGGCCATAGTACCTCTCTCGTTGTAGGTGCAGAGCCTGCGGCACAAGAGGATCCCAGATCCGCCACTCCAACCGCCCGCCGCGACCTAGAGCCCAAACCAGACCACACGAATCAGGAAGCTTAGAGCATGGCGTGGAAGGAACCCAGAACCCAGAACCCAGGGACCGGGGAGCGTACCTCGGCGCCACCGGCGCGGCGTAGGATAGGTACTGCTCCGCTGAAACATGCTTCCGCGGCCGCCGGCGCTGCCCGGCGAGCGGCTGCCGCGGCCGACGGCGGCGACAGGAGGCGGCGGAGCGCGACCTGCGAGAGCCTCTGCATCGGTGGTGAATTGGTGTTGTTCTGGAGGCGGCTTGGGCCCAGTGGGCTTACAAGCTCTCTTCGTGGCGATAAGTTGGACTTTGTCAGATGGTTCTCCTCGTTGGGCTGGACCTGGACATGACTTCTACCTTTCCATTTCTACGAAATAGAGAGGTTTGCCTAAAAAAACGAAATACAGAGGTTCAAGCCTAATTTTGTCAAATTTATCTCTGTTTCTTGAGAGAATTTCAAGCTTTATTGATAAGGATAATCAAGGCTGCGTGCCTCGCGGATACAATCCGAGTTTACGTGAAATATAGAATCACTAGAGAACGCACGAGGTCTAGCTAGGAACAACTTTTTGGCCGTCCCCAAAATCTACTCGGTTTCCCTCGCATCTAGCCACCGCACCTCTTCGGCACTGTGAGGTAGGGGAATGAGACCCTCTGGCTTAGCTTTCTCTACACCGCTCGTATCGTCGTCCATGCGGCATCATATATATGGCGATTGGCGAGCTCATTCGCTAAGGTGATCTGGAAAACCAACGGGCCAATCGAACCAAGCGGATGACAGAATTGCGTGAAGACAAAGAAAAAGGGTTTGAGGACCAATGTCGTCAGAGCGTCCACATGATGCCTTTTTTGTCTCTCTTTGGTGGATTCGGGCATCCACATGATGCCGTCATGAAATCATTCAAGTTGCGGGCTGCGGATCATTGCTCGATACGGATTCCACTGTCCTGAGATCGATCTATGGCGGCCGGGTTGAAGTGGCGTGGCCGCGTGGGAGGGGCCAGGCCGGCATGCACGCAAGGTGCTCGATGGTATGCGCACACGCACAGGTGCGTGCTCCTTGATATCATCAGTTCTTTAAAACTTTTTAGCGGGCCGTGTTCCCTGCCATGCCGGGCTGTCCCTTTCTCTCTCTCTCTCTCGTGTGTGTGTGTGTGTGTTTGTGTGTGTGTGTGAGCTCATGGACGGGCATTGATGAATCACAGTTTATGCCCACGGCAGCTTCAGAATACATGCACATCCCTGAAACTTGGTGTGCATGGACTGTAGTTTTGCACCAGTTTCGGAGGAAATAGGACTGTGAGCCCGCCCATGACTGAACAATATTGCATGGTGATAAACTGATAGGTTGTAAAGTCCCATTTGTATCTCACATAAGCAAATACTCCCTCCGTCCCAAAATAAGTGTCTGAAGCTTAGTACAACTTTGTTTGTACTAGAGTTAGTATAAAGTTGAGACACTTATTTTGGGACGGAGGGAGGGAGTAGTAAATTATGCATCGCACATAAGCAAATAGTTAAGTAACAAACAGTTGTACGCCTTAATTTTGACCGTGGAATCTTTGGCCAAAGATAGAGTAAAATGACATTCCATCCCATGTGCTAGAACCCAAAGAGTAGTCCACAATAAGTTGTCTAGTTTTATGCACTGTCCAATATTCGTAGAACTTGGTCTAGCACCATCACAACTCCACTTAAGCAGTGCTACCACTAATTATCAGCTTGTCGTTGTCTCTGATTTCTTCCTAAGGATGATACAATGGCGTAAACTGAAAAGATCAGCTTTGAAATACTTAGATACCCTGGTGGCCTATCCTTATCTTCAGGACTGTTGAACTGATTGACCATGATTTAGATGAAGATTTAGTGTTCTCACTCTGTTCGTAATATGACCACACACCCATCTGAGAAATCACAATACTTCTACAATCTTGATATCAAACTGCACATGCTTTGGTCAGCAGCTATCGCTATAATGGGAACGTTGGAAAGGGAAAAAGAAGGAGTTCCAAATGCTATGACTTTAGCTATCACTATAATCTTGATCACAGTCAGTATAGTGGTGCAACAGCAGCCACCAGCTTTAGGTAATGCCGGTACATAGATAAATAGATTGCCTTGATTCTTGGTGCAGCGTCTCCATCGCAAATCACGTCTGACACGGCAAGTAGTGTGAACAATGTTGCCTGCACATGCTAACCTCCTCTTTGTCTTTGTTAGGTTGCAACAAGAAACCAATTAGCTCAGCTGAGTAGTAGTACTCCCTCTGTTCCATATTACTCGTCGCTGATTTGGTACAACTTTATACTAAATCAGCGACAAGTAATATGGAACGGAGGGAGTATATGTTAGCAACTCATGATTGCTTCGTTCTTAAAACGAACAAAAAGAACACAGTCTCATTTCAAAGCCAAGCACTATTAGCATCCATTTCGAAGAATTCTGTACATTCCAAATTCTTGCCATCATAAGAATATATGCCAAAAATGACAAAAGAAACAGGAGATTCAAGCCTGAGAAAAGCACTAGACGGTCTACAAGCCATAGAATGGTGTGTTCCTCAATATAGCGACACGGATGAATCATCTCCGACCTGCGCAGTGCCGTACTTGCTGGAGGAGGAGGAGGAGCCCGGCGGCTTGGACAAGTCGCCGGACCGCCGCCGGAGCATCTGGCGCATGCCGTCGGCCACCCGGACGGCGGGGTTGGACTTGAACATCTTGCAGAAGGCCATGTGCGCCCGCACGGCCTCCTCCACGCCCGGGTGCGCCTGCTTCTTCCTGCCGGCCTCGTCCCTGACGGCCTCGCAGCACAGCCCGCACAGCCACTGGCCGTAGAAGCTGCCTCTCACGCTCGCAATGTAGTCCTGGGTGCAGTCCTCCCTCAGGCCACAGCACTCACACTTGACTGACTCTATCTCCATTGCTGCTGGCTATGGCTATTGCTCTGTGCCGTGCTGTGGTGTGCTGTGCTGTGCTGGCCTTGGTTGGGAGGCTATTTGTAGGGGAGGAGGGAGGTTATTACGGTTGCGAGGGGCAGGGGTGGGGATGGGATGGGGTGCATTTATGATTGGAAGGCGTTGCCGCATGTTCTGAGGCGAGAGATTTGAGACAGAGTTAGTTGGGTGTGAGCCTGCCTCATTTGCTGGCCTTTTCCCTGGCATTTAAAAACTCTGGCATCAGTTGGTGGCTGGAAAGTGTTGCTGTTGCTGCGGGAATTTGGGGGGCCTCTCCCCTTCCATACAAAATGCAACCTTTGTCCCTTGCTGATCAATCCACCGGTGCCAGCCCACCCGAGTTCAAGTCCCAGCTTGAACGCGTGGTGCTTGCGGAGTTTCTTCTATAAATAAATGTCAACGAGGGTTAGCTCTTGGATTGGTCTCATTTGTTTTTAGGATTTCTGCAAATGTTTGAGCCAGGCAGTGCTGTTTCTGGTGACATGAGCCAGCCAGCTGCCAGAGGGAGGACATCTGACCCTGCTACCAGATTAGGTTTTATGCACCAGCACAAGTTACTCCATAAACTCAAAGTGCCGTAGGATTGCATAATTTAACCTGGATGTTCTTGTCAATCAATACTGTCCATGCTTGCTCGTCCTTTATAAGTAGCAGTTGGTTCCTGAGATACTCTGAATTGCATAATTGTGAGTTCGCATATCGTTCGAGGATGTACATTTACTCCATCCACTAGCCTTTCTATTTGAAAATTACCATATAGATTCAGCACATGGCTTGGTAAAAACACAATTAAACAAAAAATTACGATAGAGGTTCCAGCAGCCACCTGTGATTAGGATTTAGAGGTGGAGGGCATACACGGTAGTATCAATTTTATAGATTTTATTTATATTTCAAAAAAGGTTTAGGTATAGATTTAGTCGGTTGACACCTCTTTTCATGAAGGATATGGCAACTGGATTCCACGATTTACACTGGCCCATGGAATCTTTGCTGGTGGTGAATCATTTTTCAGTTGAAATTGAATTGGTTATTGCATTATGGAATCATGATTTACTTCGTAGATCATACTGATTATTATTGGTTTTAACTGTTCATGTCGGTACCACCGAAGTTTGCCTTCTAAGCAACAGGTATCCAAAATAAAGTCTTAGACAACTAAAAGTATTAAGTGAAGGCTCCATAGAAGATTTTCTTACTGAAGGGTGATGGCTGGACCCTTGGTTCCTAGCTGGCCAGTGCAAAATTCAGTCCATTGGTGCTTACTTATTGCCTTCAACGCTAGCTGACGTTGGTTATTTGATTCCTCCAAAAGAAATGACACCTTTTGTTTCTTATTATAAGATGCCATGCCGCAACTAGGATGGACCATATCAGTTGGTTTCTTGTACTATATATGTTGTACCGTAGCAGTTGTGGAACTCTAATGCCTTGGCAACACTCTGAGATATTTCTCGATTTTGGTACCCGAGCATGTCCATAAAAATTCCGCGAAGGTATGAAAGAACATCATAGTTTATTTTTTGCGGGAAAGAAGAACATCATAGCTTGGTGCTTTGGTCTACTAAAAATCAAAACCACATTTTTTGAAACTAAGTTTCTTTAAGAAGGCATTAAACTGAAATTATCTCAAAAAACTAAGATCTGGAACTGAAACTATTTTGTAAGAAAACATATCAAACTGGAATTTGATGAATGAAATGCAATTTTCTAGACCTGCATGAATCGGATGGATTGCATAATACTGCATCGGAACTTGCTCAGCCCCTCGAAAACCACTCTCATTATTTTCTGGTGTAACATTTCATTTGCGATTTGTACTGCCTTTTGGTGACGATGCCATTTTATACCGCTTTACATTCTGAACTTAATCTCTCGAAGTGAAAAGGTTAACTTATTGTTCACATGTCACCATTCCATGTTAATGGGCTTGTGCAGTTGTTAGCTGGACATACTATCTATCCTTTTCTTATCATATTGTCTATCCTTTTCTTATCAGCTAAACAACTTATTGACTAAACGCAAGTACGTGTCTGATCTTCACAGGCGCACTTCCTGAATGTTTGATTAAGCGCCTGGTCTATTCCGGCACTCCTTGTCTTTCGCTATTTCCGAAATGTAACTACATTTTGGAAGCTATACCGACCGTCTGTCTTTGTCTTCCATTTAAATGCTTCTATAAGCACATGGTTCTTCTTCCTTTCGCACTTTGGTTGACAACTGGAATTTGGGTCTGCATTTTAATTATATTTGTCATAGGAAAGCTTATCTAGTACAGTATGTAATGATTTCGCTCCCCGAGAGGAGTTATACTAGTAGTTCCACGTCAATTTTGATTTGAGGTGTCATAATAAATTTCCTAGTCCATTTCATGCCATGATGCTATTCAGGCCCATACACGTGATGCTACTCGATTGCACACCATCTTCTATGAAGAAGTCATTGCTCTTCTGATAGGGATAGGGTACAAGCGTAATTGCGTGCAGAGAGTTGAGTGGAACGCAAGTTATTCGTTTCCAAGAAGATTACACAAGTACCTAGAGACAGGGAGATCGATCCATACCTAGTAGTAGTTGAGAAATTTGGCTACCGGTATAAACATGATGACAGTTCTGTTTATTTGGATTTTGCTATAAATCAAACGTCAGATTTTTTAGCATTGCAAATCGAACGTTTTCATGGCAAATTTAGTTGCCGTGAGGATGACAATTTTCTTTATCGAGCATGAAAAATATTCGACTTGCCATGGTTAAAAATCTGACGTCGTATTTTTAACATTACCGTATTATTTTCCCTCAACCTGAAGATCCTACATGTTTTCTTGAATTTAGTTTAACAATTCTAGGTTAGTAAAATAGGGCATTTGTGCTAGTACAATATGTCAATGTCCATTATAACCCACTGTCTGATTTATTGGTAAGACATGTTGTTTTACTAAGTAATGATGATGATTACTGATGTTGCAGTTTAATATAGATAAAAAAGGTGAAATGTTTGGCACCTGCCAGGCACGTTTGATGATATAGTAGTTTTTGAAGTTTTAGCCAGAGGTTGAACAAAATTGTGATACGATGCTTCAAACCATCGGTAGCACACACATGGTGCTGCTGTCTGAAGGGAGCATTTGTTTGGTGCTGAATTGTCGTTCTATTTTTTTTTCATGAGCTTCTTCTGTTTCTAAATTCTAACAACAGAAGGTAAAATCCAGAAAAAAATCAAGGGCAATTATTAGCCAATGAGTGAGGCTAAAAAGGGTTTAAAATATTAAGGGTCTATTATTATTATTAGCCAAACATCCTTTTCCGTTGGCCCAAGGAAGGGGGCGAGTGGCATGACAAAGATATTACTAGTACAGTGACACTGACAGTGAAGCAAGACCACGGCTATTGGTGGCTGCGTTCTCAGAGTCATCCGGTGCCACACGTACGGCTATTGGTGGAGCAGTGTTATTATCTTGTTTTCACGGCCGAAAAACAGTGTGGGATGAATGAAAAGCAGAGTGGGAGCCAATGGACGGATGCACAAGGCAAGATGAGCCAATGGACGGTGTTGTTATTATCTCTATTTAGAAGCGCCGAACGAGCCCGCGTTGCTCCCCTTCATAAATAAGTGGCAAATCTAAACAAGCTAGTTGAAACGTCACCAGCACTAGCGTTTGGCATTTGGGTGGCAACGCCAAGGGGTTGGCGTTTTCGTATAGCTCAGCAAAGCCACGGCCTGTGGCGTTTTCGAAAAGGGTCAGATCGTGAAATAGTTTTTGAAGGGGTTTATTTTGTGCCAACGTTTCCTCATAAGGTCAGAACAGTGAAAAGGGACAGCACGCGGGCATATCTTCTTTGGTCTGCATCCCAAGACGAGCCATGCATGCATGGCAACATGGCCCCGCCACCGATGATACGTAGATAGTAGGCTGCTGCGGCCTGCAATCATATGCTCCGATGAGATGAGCTGAGGCCGTGCATGCATGTGGGTGATGTGTTGGAACTGCCAACGCGCCAACTTGTCCGTCCGTATCCGTCCTACGCAGCCGGCACATGTGGAGCGCAGTGGCTGTAGGTACGTGCACGCTCTCGATCGCAGGCCACATACAGCCTCCCAAGACGACATCGGCCGGCAGTAACCATGTCTATGTGATGATCGTGAGCCAGCCAAGTCCAAGAGCCCAAACTGTGGACCGGTTTGGAACTACTACTAGCTACAGTAGCTAGCTAGCTACGGATGACACCTTTGTTTTTTCCATGTCATGAGATACGTGACGAAATTAACGGCTAGCCCCAGCGTCTTCATTCATGGACGGTCCTCTTTTGTGCCCTCTTTTGTGGCACATAGGTCGATGCTATTACTGTGGTTACTTACAGGTCACAAGATCTTGGTCACCAAAGTGCCGCTCCGTTTTTGGTACTGCCAAGTCAGGCCGTGAATGCGGCTCACATGATAACGCTGAGTCTTATCCATACGCTGCATATTTATGGAGAGGCGTCGTCCGGCTTGGCCGGGGGAGTTGCGAGGTTCTCAAGCCTGCCTGCTGGTTCTCAGGCGACTGCACTTCACTTGCAGAAAAGGTTCCCAGAATATATATCTTATTACGCCGCACGCCCACCCACCCTAGCCGGTACATCAACATCCATGCCACATGCCTAGCTACTGGATTCATAATTCGTTATGTCACGTCAGGGGTTTAGCCAGCTTGACTTTGGTCTCGTCGTAATCAGCATGCATGATTAAACTGGAACCGAACCGCAGAACATGCCGCCCTCCGTCTCATCCGAGATAAGTTTCTTGTCAAGATCTGATCCCCCGTCTCTTTGTCTGTCTTGCGATTTGTTTAGCTGGTTCGGCTTAAGCGTATCCGTCCTTCCGTAGCTCCACGCACATGCCGCTGCATAGGGCACATGGGAGGGTGGTCGCTGAGGGGGAAGATACCCACCCACAATCAAGCAGATGATTGCGCTATCTATCTAGTCCGA